TTTCTTATGGGATTACTGTATTAAATGTTTGTTTTCTTTTCAAAAAATTATGATCATCCTTGTTTATGTATGTACTTAATGATTTATGGTTAGTGTGACTAAAAAATCTAGCTGCAATTTTTTTAATATAAATGTTTTATATACAATTATAATTCAAAACATTATTTTAAGTAATCTAGTTCAGCATTACTTTCTTTTCTTAGACATAATTTGTTATTTCTACACATTTTGTGGGAGCATTTAAATGGCAAAGAAAGTGAAGAATATGAGATCATTTAGATTGTTTCATTGCTTTTATTTAGTAATATGAGATCAAGTGGCATTAAAAAATTTTTAATACTGGGATTTTTTTTCACAAGATATATTTTTAATCATTTATTTACTCATCCATCTAACCACCCATCCATCCATCTATTCAAGCAATAGTTATTGTGTACCTACTACAACTATGAGTTCCATCTATGGGGATACAGCAATGAACAAGCTTGACAATCTCTGCTCTCAAGTAGTTTACAGTCCTTGGAGACAGGTCAACAGCAGATAAATAAGGAAATAACATCTAGTAAAAAGTGGAAGATGCACATACAGTGATGTCATAAAGGGTGCTTAGGTGGGTGGCCCAGGAAAGGCCTCTGAAAAGGAAGCATGTAAACTGAGATAGGAGCACCAGGAAGAAGCCACTTTGACAAGAGGAGGGAAGTATCTGCCCTTGTCCATGTTTGCATTCAGGCTCTCTCCAAGATTCCTCTAATTTTAATATTTTATGATTCTCAGTGTTATACCTATAACGGAGTCACAGCCAATCTACAACTATAAGGGAACCATATTAAAAGTACGCAGAAAGGAAAATGATAAAATACTCAACACAGGCATATACTTCATCCTATTGGTGTATATCTACATGGAAGGCTAAATTATAATCGTAAGATTGCTTTTAAGCATGGAATCGGAGCAAGAAGAGTTAGTGAGATAATCTTGACAGCTTTTTTTCATTAAGCCATTTTCCTTGGTTTATTCAGTGCCTGATTGGGAAGACCTACCTATTATATACCCTAGAGAATATCCATAGGCAGGGACATCTGCTCCTCTGGAGATTGTTGGAGCTTTAATATAAAATTTGGGTACTATTTTTTTTTAATATCTTTTAATGACTTTTTACGGAGAGGAAGAGAGAGGGGTAGAAAGTTAGAAACATCCATGAGAGAGAAACATCAATCAGCTGCCTCTTGCACACCCCTTACTGGAGATGTGCCCGAAACCAAGGTACATGCCCTTGATCGGAAATCGAACCTGGGACCTTTCAGTCCTCAGGCTGATGCTCTATCCACTGAGCCAAACTGGTTTCGGCTTGGGTACTATTCTTTTTTCCATTCTTCACCTTCAAAAATATAACAAATAAAATTCACAAAATTAATAGCAATTTATTAATTACCTTCTGAAATTTAACATGGTATATTTTGACTATGCTTACTAGATTTATCTTAGATTGACCAAAGAATTAAAAAAAATAATAATGGGATCACTGTAATACTGTAAAAGATAATTTTCCATAGAATTAGCACAAACAAAACCCATCAAGTTTTTTTGTTTTGTTTTGTTTTGCTTATCTGTCTTTGTTGCGAACCTGAACCTTCCTTCTATCATTGCAGCATAAAGGATGTAGGGGAACAGGAAAGTGGTGTTGATAGCACTTTCAGCTAGAGCAATTTGTATTTAAAATGAAGCAATAGTACTTATACTAGTCTTTCAACAAAATTCTAGAATGCTGCAAGAGTAGAGATTTCTCTTTAGTATAGATTTAAGTGCATGATGATGGTGCTACTTTAACTTTGATAAATTGAATTTTTAAATTGAATTTTTAAATTGAATTTTTAATCAGGTGACATTGGTTAAAAAATGATACAGCCCTCAGGTGAACAATTCTACAATACATCATCTTTTCACTGTATTGTGTGTTCACCACTCCAAGTCAAGCCTCTGACTATTACCATTTATCCTCCCTATATCCTCCTCAACCCCCCTCCACCCCTAAGATATGACTGTATTTAATTACCGCTGATGAAAGGTAATTTGCTTATTGGTTAAATTGTTTCATATTTCACAGATAAAATGGTGATAGCACTTTAAGTCCATATCTGTCTACTTTTTTTTTTTTTTTTTTTTGATAGACAGCCTAGGCAGATTGCATACTAAATCTAATGTGGATATCTGAAAACTCTGGGCATTCAGAACAGAATTCATCTTCAAACCTCAACAACATCTGGTATATAGAGTCTTAATCTCTTAGAATTTCTAGGCAATAATTCTAACCAACAGAGTTAGGCTGTAGCAATTAAAAGAGAAAAATGCAAAGACCAGGGAAGATATCTGACTGAGAGAACTGACTTCATAGCCTTAAAAAGTGGCAGGCCATTTACTAGCTATACTGTATGACTTAGGGAGAGTTACTAATCTGCTCTTTACTGTGTAAAACGTAGATAATAACAGCTACTGCTTGTATAAAGATTAATAATGGAATATTGGCATACATTTAAAATGTAATTTCAAAACAAATGTCACCCCAGTAAATTTAATTTAAAAATGTAAAAAAAAGGTTATTTCTTTTTTTTCATTTTTTTATTAAATTATTATCTGTGTACATATTTTAACATTGCCCCCATACATACCCTCCCTCCCCAGAGTTTTGTGTCCATTGGTTGTACTTATATGCATGCATACAAGTCCTTTGGTTGATCTCTTATCTCCCCCAGATCTCTCTACCCTCCCCACTTTGACAGACTGCTTGTTGCTTTATTGTCTTTATATCTGTCTTTTGGTTCATCAATTATTTCTTATTTCTACTCTTTTCCTATAGCTTGGGTCAGTCTAGACCTTTTTTGACTGTGAGGAAATAAGAAACATGGGATGTACGATATATTTTTAAAATTTCATTTCTCGATTCAGTAAATAAAGCATATATAACTGAAACTAAATTTTCACAAAGTAGCATTTATGCAATTCTTTCTTCTGAATTCTAGTTTATTTAGAAGTAATAGCATTTGAAAAACATTCCTCTAAGCCGTCTTAACTGAGCCTAGTGTCTATAGTCAGAAGAAATAGAACCCAGCTTATTTTAGAAGTCTTTTTATCACCATATTCTCTTCTCTAGGTTAAAGGCTACAACTGGATATGACTATTATATGCTACCAAATCATGGCTATTTGCGATGTATTAGCACTGAATCTACAAGTATCTTCTTGGGTAGGCAATCAGCCATGTGTTAAATTAAGATAGCAAGATTTGAAAATTCTCTCTAGAACTTAATAGAGCGATGAATTAATATGTAGTGAAGTACTCTAATGTCTAATAAAAGGGGGAACTTATATGTGAATAATAGTAGTAGTGTATTGAAAAAACATATAATATAGCAGTATCGTATCCAGTAACATCTGAGACCTGTTTTGAGATATTTTATAATCGGTAATTAGATCTGGGGAAGTGGGTTCCTTAACACTGTACAGTCTTATGAAGCCTAACAATTTTGTGTATGTAGCCTTGAGAAACTAACAAAAAGAGAATATGTATGTTTTATTATGTTCCTTATTGGAATAAACATTTAATTTAGGGAAAGAAACATTTTAAGATCTTAATATGTAGTTTTAAAAACATCATTGTTTCAAATATACTAATTTGGGATATATTAGTCTATCTTTAGAAAGGGAGAGAGAATGGATCCTTTGAAAAACCTAATCATGTCAGGATCATGTCACTCCTTGGCTCCACATTTTCCGTATTTCACTCACAATAAAAGCTAAAGTCCTATAATGGCCTACAAAGTCTGGCCCCAATCACTTCTCCTCCACCCCACCTGCACCCCTTTACCTGCCTGGACTCCTGCTATCCTCCAGCTATCTCATTCTACCCCAGCTACAGTTTTCCCTCACCTCCTTCAGGTCTTAGCTCAATAGTCAGGGAGGCCTTCCCTAACCACCTAATTTAAAAGTGCATTGTGTTCCTACCCTTCTTGGACACACACACACTTTCCAGCCTGCTCTTGCTTTATTCTTCTCTTCTCCCCACTTTCCCCCCACACACACCCACCCACCAGCACTTATCACAATGAAATGTACTATATAGTTATTACTTATTCTCTATCCCTTATTAGAATGCAAACAGCTTAAGTCTAGGGGTATTTGCCAGTTTTTAAGCACGCGTGTACCCCCAGAGGCTAGAACAGTGTTTGGCACCCAGGAAGTAAGTACATTTCCACGAATGAATGAATCAATTGTAACCACTGCCGTATGAATGGCGTTCAGTTCTTCAGTGTGCTTTTAAAAATGTATTCCACAGGTAGAAATCACGTACCCGCTTTTTAAAGTTTCTTAATTCCTTTTCTCTCTCAGTTTGGGGGAAGTCAAAGAAAAAAAAAAAAAAAAAGGCGGCCCTGTTATGATGGGGCGGAGGCGGGGAGGAATTGTTTCAGGGAGATGACGGGGAGAAGGCTCGCCAGGATGCTCACGGAATCCTAAAGCACTGTCCCCGCGGCTGCCAGGTCCCGGAGTCCACCCGCAGCCCGGCGTGGAGAGCAGCTCGGGAAGAGAGAGAGCCGCGGGGAGTTTCCCTCAATGGTCTCCTGATGCCTCTGCCTTCACAGCTTTGCTGCCAGGGTCACCGGACTCCTTCACCCTCTATTAGGTTCCCGGGGCCCGGTGTACCGCCGGACCGGGGCGGCGGGCCGGCGAACCCTCCCCCCCGCCCTGCCGCCCCTGCCGCCCCTCACCTGGGCCGCCCAGCCCCGCCCCCGGTGGGTCCGCGGCCGCAGGTGACACCCGCCCGCGGGAGGCAGCGCCGGAGGCGCCCGGCGGCCGGGGCGAGGCCGGAGAGGAAGCGGGGAGGCGGGGTCTCCCCGCACGGGGGCGCTGTCACCTGCCCGGGGAGGAGCCAGAGCGGGACCTGGTCTTTTTTCTTTTTTTTTTCTTTTTCCAGCTCAGACACCCTGAAGGGGGGAACCCGTCCGGACCATGAAGCGCGGCGGAGGCATTGAGAACCCGGCTTTCCTCAGCTCCAGCCCTGACACCCCGCGCCGCCGCGTCTCCGCATCGCCCTCTCCCGTCGAGGTGCCCGCCTTGCCCGCCGGCGCCCGGACGGAGAATTCGCTGCCGCCCGAGCCGCCGGAGCCCCCGGAGCCCCCGCAGCCCCCGCTGCCGGCCGCCGCGGCCCCGGACCCCCGAGCGCCGGCCGGGCCGGAGTCGCGGTCGGAGCTGGAGGGGCCGTGCGGGTGGGGCAGCTTCACACCCCGGTGCCTGCAGCCCTGCAACACGCCGCAGGGCTTTCTGATCCACTACTGCCTCCTGGCCCTCATCCAAGGTGAGGTCCGCGCCGCGGGGGCGGGGGGCGGGCGGACCCGGGGGCGGGGGGCGGGGGGCCGGGGCCGCGATCCTGCAGGAGCTCCGGCCCACAGTAACCAGCGGGGCTCAGACTTCCACATTTCAGCTTCTCTGTAGTCGCTACGATGTTTTAAAACTTTGCACGCAGCATGTGCTCCTTGGTGTCCTACCTGTCTCGGTTTAGCAGGTTCGGTCCCTCCGGGGAAGATTGAAATTATCGGAGACATAATCCCTGGGACAAAAGTATGCATTTTTCTAAACCTCCAATTGAAGGGATTTTGTTTTTACAGTTCCTGGAACGTATTAATTAAGAAAGTTGCAGGTGAGGCTAGGCTGGTTCTCAAAGGAGCAGCTTGTTGAGTATAGTATAGGTGGGATATTAAGTTCTAATATTTTTTGTGGCTATATATGTAGCCCGAGTTGTAGGAAGGCGCAAGTGTAGTGCAATTCGCAAAGATTTCAGGGGTGTGGAGGGTGAGGTCCTTCTAACAGCAGATGATGCAGCCTCCGTTTTGTTCAGGGGTTTCTTTTACATTCACTTGGGAGTTGCTGGTCAAGCCCAGGCTTATGCCCTCAGGAGTTTGTCCCTAAGGCTGCTTTGGAGGAGTGAGTCTCAGGGTGGAGGAGAGGGGCTCCCCGCAGGGAGCATAGAGAAGGTGGAAGCTGCGAGGGGTGGTCTAATGCAGGGCCTGAGAGAAATGGGAACTGACACCCACACGAACATGACCCAGTGAGGAGGCGTAGGCCTAGAGGTGGAGCATGTGAAAGGACATGCTGAAGGTTAGAGTTTAAGGATATGTACATATTTTTTTAAATATTGTGTAAGGAGGCAAGCAAGGACTGATCGAAGAAACTTTGGCAACTTTGGCAGAGGGGTTGGAAATTCTCTTTTCTAAGATTAACAGAAGAATAAATATAAACATATTTGCTCCCCTATTTCAAAGGAACATAATGCCCCTTGCTGTGCATAAGTTAGGTGCTAAGTATTTGTTGATTGTAAGTGGGACTAACTTCAGATTTTCTACTAAAGATAGTTTTATGCTAGAGCTATTTCCCTTTCCACCTTTCTTATCTGCACCAAAGTTCACTTGCTCTCAATATCTTCATCTTAGTCAATTTCTTGATTTCAGTTGTCCAAAGACCTGTGATTATTTTTTCATTGATTTTTAGAGAGGGTGGAAAGGGTGGGAGGGAGAGAGAGAAACATCTATGTAAGAGAGACACATAGATAGGTTGCCTCCTGTACACGCCAGCAACCCAGGTACGTGCCCTTGACTGGGAATGAACCTGAGATCTTTCAGTGCGAAGGTTAATGCTCTAACCACTCAACACATCAGCCAGGGCAGGATTTTGTCTCCTTAAAGGAAATATTTCAATCAAAAGGCAAAGTGTAGAAAAGCAAGCAATAACTTATTGACCAAAGCAAAAATATACTTAGATCAGTGAAACAAGGGCACAGTAGAAGCAAAGGGAGAGCCTCAGCTGAGCTGCTTTGGCTCGCTGGTGAAGCGGAATTTTTGGACAGGAACCTGGATTCTTTGTCAGCCGGAGTCAAAGAATGAATCCAGGGTCAGAGGTGGTATAGCAAAGGTGGAGATTTATTAAACAAGTACCGACTCCCATGTGGGGAGGGGAAAAGGGTCCCACTGAATTCCTTTTCCCTATGGCTTATACAGGCTGCAGATCTTGGTGCTTTGATAACCCCTCAGATTTATCACCATTCCCTTGGACTGGTTACTATAGTAACTCCTGGTTTCAAAGGTGGAGCCCTCCTTCCCTATTGTCTTTCTATTCCCCGTGGGCCTTCTTCTTCTGGACTAAGGGCTTCCTTCTCTTTATTTTGTAAATATAGACCCTCTGCTGTTCCCTGCTCCCTCCTTCAGTGGAAATCTACCTATTGTAGTTTTTCCACTTCCCTATTCTATGGAGGTAACACCTTCTGCTGCTCTGCAGCCCTGTGCTTCTATGGTTCTTTTAGTTTCTAAAATTTCCTAAAACCTGTCTTTTTCACCCCCCAAAATTCCTGTTTCACTGGCGAGTCAGAGAAAGGGGGGGGGGGGGTCTTGGAGACAAGTTCTGAGGGTTAGCCCAGGATGAGCGGCTGCTGCCATTGCTCCCCTGGTTGCAAGTCCTTTGGGGTCCCTTAGAGTTTAGGAGATAGTGCCTGGGGGGAAGAGACAGGGGGAAGGGAATGGCATGGGGGAGATCCATGAGACTTCCTTTCCAGGGGCTTTAAAGGCTGGGCCTTTACGGGAGGTCTTAGTGGAGAATCAATAGAAAATTCATCAGCTTAATGCTGAAGTACCAAAATGAGATTTTTTCTCTCTTAATTTCTCAGTCCTTGGGTGTGGTTGGGAAAAGGCTCTAATTGGATTTCTGTTATCTGTCTCCCTGAGTAGGTTGATTTAACCTATAAACCGTTTAGTCTAAAGCATCTTTGGTTTAGGGAAAATAGGATTTGCTGTGTGGCTGAAAACTGCTCTGTAGCTATCTACCTTAGTTTCCCTATTATGCTTGTTCTGGAGTTTTCCTAGCTTCTTATTCTATAACACTTGGACCTAAACAAAAAAATTCTTGTGTTTTCTTTCAAAAGGTATTCGAAAATTTCTATATTATTCCAGACGACATAATTTTATAATTAATATAACATTTTAAAAATTATTATAAAATATACTTGTCACTCTTAAAACGTGTTTAGCCTGCAGCATCATCTGCCCAGAGGTCCCCGCTTTATTACCTTTTCTCTCAAACATGATCCTTGGGAAGACCATTTCCATTGTATATGAATACATGTTTAACTGCAGGAGAACCCCAAAACTTACCAAGTGAGTTTACTTAACCCCCTGATTGGCAAACTGTGGTTCAAGAGCCACATGTGGCTCTTTGGCCCCTTGAGGTTTTAGCAAAGACCAGTCTAGGAGTACCCTAAGTAAGTTAATAACAATGTACCTACCTAAATAGTTTAAGTTTAAAAAATTTGGCTCTCAAAAGAAATTCCAATCCTTGTACTGTTGATATTTGGTTCATTTTGACTAATGAGCTTGTCGACCACTGTCTTAACCCAACATTTTTCAGTGATAAACAGGATTGCTCTTAGGACATAATTTCCTAGCATACTTCCTAACTTCAAGCATAATATGCAGTATTTCATAGAATTTCTTTTTTTTTTTTTTTATCTTAAAGTAGAGCTCTTGGGACTTCTGCAGCATAAAATTCACATTCAGATTCATAGCTTAAAGTGCCATCCTATATAATAAAGAGGTAATATGCAAATTACCCTTATGCCATAATGCTGTCATAAGATGGTGGCTTGCATAGTGCAGAGTGGGGCCAGCTGCTCCCTGCGCCTGCCCCTGCAGTTCCCTGGGCTGCTCAGGGGCGGGTCCCAGCTGCTGTTCCCAGTGGCTTCCTGGAGTTCCCTCAGCTGTGGGGTGGGGTGAGGTGGGGTGGGGGGTGGGGGTCCCAGCTGCTGTTCCTCAGCTTCCACTGTGATGACCAGGCCTGCAGGGGAGGGCAGTTGGGGGTGATTGGGCTGCCAGGAGAGCAGCTAAGTGTCAATCAGGCCAGCAGGGGAGCAGTTAGGGGGTAATCAGGCTAGCAGGCAGAAGTGGTTAGGGGCAATTGCGGTGGGCAATTTCTCTGTTTTCTGTGTCCTGCACGGAAAACGATAGGTTCCTGAGTGGAGGAGCTGGGGATTAAGAAATTAGAGAAAGAAAGAGACAAGAGGCAGAAATAGATTCATAAAGCTGGGCGCTAGGTGGGTACCATCTCTCTGATGGAGAGAAAGTCACAGCATATTTATTGGTTTCCAAAGGGAAGTTTAAGGTCAAAAGGAGTTTCGGGTGTGCCCACATCCTATTCATCAGGATCTGGGTAAGCTCCTCATTTTTTTGGTACAAGATTTGGCATATCAAGATCTGGTAAGTCAAGGTCCTATTTGTTCCTCATTCCAAGCACGTGAATAAAGATAAGAAATCAGGACTGATAACAGGATTCTGCCAGTGCCCTTGGGCTCAGCTGCTAAGAATGTCCATGTGCCATCTCTGGCATCTCTCTACAGCAATCAGACAGACCAACAGACAGAGGTTAGGAACCAGCAGTCCTGGATTGAGAGGGATGCCTGACTGCTGATTTAGGCCCAATCCCTAAGCCAGCAGTAGGACATACGCCTAGGAGTCCCAGGGTGCAGGCTGGGCTGAGGGACACGCCCTCCAGTGCACAAATTTTATGCACCAAGCCTCTAGTGCTTCCATAAGAGTTTACAAATGAACGTTTTCAGAAGTTTTACCATAAAGGCAAGGAGTTCAAATGAATGACTTGTAATCAGTATGGCAAATATGTTGGGAAGCTGATTTTTGGATGAGGAAGTGTTCATATTCTTTTATCCTTATACCAGTTAAATTGTTATTCCTAGGTACTTTAGATACTTTATTTTTCATTGACATGTTAGTAATTGTAATTTACTTACAGATTTAAACTGGCATGCAAGTATATTAGAGCTTTTAGAAACTTGTTATCAGTTTTCTTGATAAAGAAAAATCTTAAAAAATTACAAACATCATAACTTCTGTATACTTTTTCTATTTATAAACAAATGAAAACAATTCATGATATTCTTTTAAGTAAAAGGGGTAACTAATTAAACACTTTGTAATTTGGACAGATGCCATTTTTTTTCAATTTATAGTAATGTATGAACTAAATTTAATCAATATTTGGACAGGATATTTTTGTCATCTATCAAAATTGGATTTTCAGCTTTTATTTCTTTACATTATATGCCTCCATCATAGTTATAATAAACAGATGAAGTGTAAGGTTTTTTTTATTTTTATTTTACTTTTTCTATGATTTAGAATCCCAGTGGTTGAAATAATGCTCTTAATTTGTTTTTACTTTAAAAATATATTTTAATTAAATTCAGAGAGGAAGGGAGAGGGAGAGATAGAAACATCAATGATGATAATCATTGATCGTCTGCCTCCTGCATGCCCCCTACTGGGGAACTGAGCCCACAACCTGTGCATGTGCCCTTGACCCGAATTGAACCTGGGACCCTTCATTCCACAGGCTGATGCTCTATCCGCTGAGCCAGACTGGCTAGGGCTAGGGCAATTTATGTTTACCTTTGCTCCAGGACCTTTAACTTTGATATCTTCAAGAGCAGTAGAAAGAAAAAGAGGCTTGAGAGCTCAATTTCAACTTTTAAAGACTTAAGTCAAGGAACTCTTGTTATATATAAATATGTTTAAGAACTGAATAACTTGGGAAGTGTTTGAGCATTGCTCAGATGACCTCTGGATCAGCTGTACTTTAGTACTCTTCTAAGTTAGGGTGGTAAAAGTATGGTTCAATTAGAAACTGGCAAACTGTCCTCATGAGACTTTACCAGTCTCACTTTTTGATTGTCATTTAAAGAAAAATGAAGTTAGCTACAATTTAGGATGTAGTAAGCATCAATTTTATTTAACACCTGAAAATTTCCAAGTGTTCAATTTAAGAGCAAACTGATTTTGTAAGCAGGTATGTTTAGAGTTTCCTACCTTTGAAACCTTGAGTCTTTTTAAATTGGTACATTTAAAAATATAAAAAATAACAAACCAAATTTTGGTACATTGTGCTGGTAATAATCATCTATATGATAAAGTTGTAATGCCATACTTTTTTTTCTTTTTTCTTTTAGGTGTTGTGGTAAATGGCCTCGTAAATATTAGTATTTCTACTATTGAGAAGCGCTATGAAATGAAGAGTTCCCTAACTGGCCTGATATCATCAAGCTATGATATCGCATTCTGCTTGTTGTCTTTATTTGTTTCATATATTGGCGAAAGAGGACACAAACCAAGATGGCTTGCATTTGCATCTTTTATGATAGGACTGGGAGCACTCGTATTTTCATTGCCAAAATTTTTTAGTGGAAAATACCAGTTGGGGTCTCCTTTTGAAGGTGAGTTTCTATTGTGTTTTTGTTTGTTTTACTTTAAGAAGTAGTATGAAACTAGGCCATTAGCTACATATTGCAACTCACTTGTACAGGTAAGTAGGATAAAGTCTCTTCCATTGCTCAATGCTTTGTTGTGATGGGAGTTGTGTGAAGTAGATTACAGAGACAGATTGTGCATCAGACTTCACTAAAGTGGTTCCAAACTTTTAGTCTTCTGATACTCATTCCCCATATTACACAAGGTCCTCAAAAAAAGATGACATATTTTTGAGGTTGTGTTTTCACTAGGGTTCTAAGACCTATAGTTTTTCCCTTTGTGCTTTTATTTGCTGTGCTTACAGCTCTGTACTCAGACTTGTTTATTCCTGATTTGAGATAAAAAGAGGTGACATTTCTAGAACTTAAACTTCTCCTAAGAACTGAAGGATTGTGGAGGAGGAAGAGAAAGTGTTTTTCATAAGCTCATTATCTGGGACTGTCTAGCTGTTGGGGGGACTATGGCTTCCTTAGCACCACAGTGTGCTTTGTACAAAATATGTTTTGTCAATGTACTATTCACCTGCAAATAAAGTTGGCAACAAATACTTCCACACACAAAAAAAGAGTCCCCAGAGGCACAGAACTTCAGGAGTTATATAATGTGTTGTTCAAGTTAGTTGCAAAAGTATTATTCAGGGTCTTAAAAAAGAAATTTGAATATTTGTTTTTCTTTATTTTTCTCTGAAAAAATAACTCATAATGGAAAAATAATTATGGTATTCCCAGAGGAATGTACTAGTGAAAGTAGATGTTAACATTTCTATTGTCCTTCTGGCTTCTTAATAGTAACATAGAATAAAATAGAGGGCTACCAAATCAGAAGCTTTCAGGGCCTTGGGTAAGTGAAGAAAAGGCTTAGAGTAAAAAGAAAGTAGAATTGGGGTCTTCTGCAACTTAGGCATTACTTTTTAAAAGTTAAGATTAAGTTTGTGAGAATTAACATTAAAAATTAATATTAAAATGTTAACATTTCCTAAGACCAAATTCCCAATTATAGAATGACTAGAGGCCCAGTGCATTGATTTGTAACTAATTAGAAGGTGGCCAGCAGGGCGGGACTTTGTTAGACTGGACACACCCTGGAGCCAATGTCAAATCGTCCCTCCCCAGCCTGGGGCGGCACCAAGGCTCAAAGGGCTTCTGTAGATTCTAGTGCATTATCTAAGATTGGACAATATTTCATAAAGCCAACAATATAATTTCACTGGGGTAGTTTTAGGAACAGGGTATATAGGCTTTAGTATAACACCTTTGAATCTAATAAATTTTAGTTTTTCACACAAGAAACGATACTGATTTTATGATGGTAAGAACATTACAATGTTTATAGCATGTAGGAGGTAATCTTTGTACTGAGTCTAATCTCACACTCCTGCAGTTCAGATGCCCTACTTGTTCATGTAGTACACAAACTTTGATGACAAACCTCTTACTCTATAAACCATAATCACCTATTCCAGTACAAAAGCCTGATCTGTCCTCAGCAATCTTCTTAGCTTTGTCTCTTGTCCCATTCACCCAGAGTTACAGCCAATCTGGATAATTTATATTTCCCACAGGGAAATGGTTACAAGTTACAGTATGGGCCAGAGATGAAGCCAAGAAGATTGCCGAAACCAAATCATAAACTTTTAGTACATTATTATATACTGTGTAAATTTTCACCAAATTCTTACTGATATTTTTTTTCATATTTTAGCTGAAGTAGGTTAGCTAATGGTATTGACTTGTCTGTAAAATTTTTACTCTAAGACTCTTAATTTAAATAATAGCTTACCTGTGGCGAATGAAAGCAAGAACTCAGGTTGCCCTTATGTTAGTCTGTCATCTGTGAAATAAATATTGATATGAACTATATGTTGCTGGGAAAATAAAAGTGAAATAGTTGATGCCATCTGGATTTATTTACTAGTGTGAACAAATAGAAAATTAAGTAAACAAGATAAAGATTGAGGTGAGTGTATGAATGGAACAGATAGTATAAAGTAGTAGTGTACAAAAGGAAAAGATATATGTCAAAGGGAAGGCTATTTTGATAACTGAAAATGAGGAACCAGCCTTAAAAGAAGCTAACCAGTCTGCTGGGTAGGCTCAGTGGTTGAGCATCAACCTATGAACGACGAGATCATGGTTTGATTTATGGTCAGGGCACATGCCTAGGTTGCAGACTCAATCTTCAGTGTGGGGTGTGCAGGTGGCAGCCAGTCAATGATTCTCTCTTATCATTGATGTTTCTCTGTCTCCCTCTGCTTCTTTGAAATCAATAAAAATATATTTTAAAAAAGATGCTTTCCAGGATGGGAAAAAACTTGATCAAGGGACCTGGAGCAGGAAAGAGCGTGGCAGGTTTTATGACTCAATTTTGCCTAGCATGATCAAAACAAAGAGAACGTGGCCTGAGATGAGCTTGGAAAGGCAGGCAGAGGCATGGGTTTTCCTTTAAGGGCAATGCAAAGTGAGAGAGAGAGAGAGAGTTTTACACAGGGGTGTGCATGGTCTTATTTAAAATGATCACTTTGGCTTCTGTGGTTCTGAAGGGTAAGATTAAGTGGGAAGAAATCACTCAGGCGGGTGGATTTTACAGTAGTCAAGGTGAGACCCAGGTGGTTGGGACTGGGTTGTTAGCTGAAGAGATTGAAAGGAGTGACTATTTTCAGTGTATTCTAAAGGAAAAAGAGATGGACTTTCTAGTGGATTGGTTGTGAAGGAGGAATGAAGAATGATTCTTTGATATTTGCTTTGACCTACTGGGGCCCTTTGCTAGAATGTGGAACACTATGTAGAGCAGCATATTGTATATCTGGTGTTGTAATATATATCTGGGAACACACAAGTTCATGTAAATGTGCAAGTCATTCTTTAGTCTTCATTCCTAGAAGTGCAAATACTGGGTTTGAAGGGCTTCCTCTTTCTAATTTTTCATAGATAATGTCACACTGACTTTTAGGAAAGAATATAGCAGATACTCTCCCATAGTCAATATGAAAATGGCCAGCTGCTATTTTGAATTTTTACCTGAAAAATTTCTTTAAAGGAAATATTATTATATGTTGGTATGTATGTGCAGGTGTTGTCACTGTAACAGATACAAAACTCAGGACTGAAGTTGCATTATATATTTAAAGGAACTCAGACATTTAGAACATAAGAAATTTTAGAAATCAGAAATCCCTGTTTTTGCGATGTAGAACTTTTAGGACAAGAGGTAAAGTAACTTAAAAGTGATTTCATAGATGTTCAATAAGAACCAAAACTAATACTAGTTATGCTTTGTTAAATGTTTTCTAAATTGTTATTATTCGTAGTAGGTTTTTTAAAAACTATATTGAGTAATTTAGGTATTTTTATGATTTAAATAATTTCTCCTCCAGTTACAAATAGCCATTTATAATGGTCTGTACTTTATTATTTTTTAAATCTTCACCCTGGGATATACCTTTATTGATTTTAGAGAGAGGAAGTTGAGAGAGACAGAGACAGACACAGACACAGAGAGAGATGGAAAGAGAAACACACAAAGTGGTTGCCTCCCATGTGTGCCTCGCCCTGATCAGTCCTGCAGCCTTCCGGTGTACAGATGATGCTCCAATCACCTGGGCCACCCGGCCAGCCCTGGTCTATGCTTCCTTTAAAACATAATAGTCTGCTCAAGTGAGTTAATCTACTTTTGCAAATATGGGATCCTATCACCAAAATCTGAATTATTCAGGGTAGAAGAAAACTGAAGATTGATGTGGGAAAAGGAAACAAATTAGTTGGAAACATCCTGTGGATAAATTAGAAGCCAGGGGATGTACATCTTCTTAGGTAACACAGCATAAATTGCCTAGAGCGCATAACATTAAGAAGTTATTTTATTAATTAAATCATACATGTAACTTAATTTGAAACTGTCCTTGAAAGAATTAACATATTCCCTGTGTGCTATTGTGTGGCCTTTGTTTTTGAATCTGAGCTAAGTCAAAGTCAGGCTCAGTTTGGATGAGATAATTTCTGTAAGAAGAGGTTAAAGTAGTATAATATAGTTGGTAAGTAGAAGAAAACAAAATGTGAAGTATGATACTAACATTTCCATAGGAGTGAGAATATAAAAGGAGGTCAGGACTTAGCAAAAGGTAGAAAAGTGTGTTTGGAAGCAGTTTGAATTTTCTATTTTGTAAAAAAAATAAATTTAAGTACTTTTGTAAAGTATTTTATTTATTTATTTGTCACCCAAGGACATGCCTTTTATTGATTCTAGAGAGATGGGAAGGGAGAGAGGAGAAGAGAGAGACAGAACATTGATATGAGAGTGAAACATCAATTGGTTACCTCTTACACAGGTCCCCAGTGCCCTGCAACCTAGGTGTGGTATGTACCCTGACCATCAAACTCTGGACATTTTGGTGGATAGGGAGACATTCCAACCAACTGGGTCACAAGAGTCAGGGTGGAAAAGTGTTATTTAAGGGACACTTTATGGAGATATAAGGGTGATTTTCTTAATTTGAAGGGAGATAAAAACATTTATTAAAAGTAAGTTTTGATGGTTTCTGTTGTATACAAAAAAGGAGAAGAATTAAAATTAAGAGATATGAATGCTTCTAAGAGCCAATTTTTGCATATGTTAACCTGAAAAATAAAATGGTGTCAGTAAACATTTTCAAGTAAATCCTTTTGTCACTTTTGATGTACTTTAACATTACATTAACATAATGCAACATTTTGATAAAACTTAAATATTTAAAAAATGTAATAAATCAATCTTTATATTTTCTTTTTATCCAAGCACTGCTTAATTCCTTTTAGATCAGTGTTAATTTAATGTTGTTAAGCAAAATAATCTTTTCTCTGAGACTTTGGGCTGGGTGTCATTAGTCATTAATAAATACTTAGGAGTTAAAGAGAATAATTACTAATCTAGTAAAGCTCTTTTATATATATATTTTATTGATTTTTTACAGAGGAAGGCAGAAAGATAGAGA